TTTTTTTTTTTTTGGTACCGAGAATCAAGCTCAGGGCCTCATGCTTGCCAGGCAGGCAATGTGCCACTGAGCTACATCCCAACAAAGATTGTTCAACAACTGCCTGGCTTTGTTACATGTTAATAGGAAAAAAGGTATGATGTGTCACCTAAAAGGTTTTTTAATCAAGTGGGGGCCACAGCATGGTGTGACTGTAGAGCCACTACAGGGCACAAGCCCCTGCCTCACACTGCTGAGACCGAGTGCCTCCCAGACTTCTGCTCCCACAGTGGCTGAGCTTGGCAAAAGCCATTCATTACATCCATTCGCTGTTAATTTGAACTTTATTGCTTTTGTGGTTTTATTTATTTGTAATGTGTTTGGGTTTTGTATAGAAATATAACTAGTATAAAGGCTTTTTACTTAGTGTAATCTTTGTATATACATAAATAAATTAAAATAAAAAAAATTTTAAGTCATCACTTGGGTCCTGCTGGGATGTTTTTTCCTAATCATGAGAAGGAATCTGCTTTGAACTCAATGTATGAACACAGTATTAGAACATCTTGCTGCTGATTTGATAAAAAAATGATACTAGCATGCTAAAGCTGCTGAGCGCTCTATTTCACTTTACCACAGGGCAAATTAATTGGCACGACAGGTACATTTCAGAATAAATGAACTTCTCCTCAAATACGTATTCCGAAGATGAGATTAAATGACCAGAAATGATCCTGTTGGGTTGGAAGTTAACACACCACCTGGCCATTGTGGGCTGCTCCTGCGTCTGGGTCTCCAGCAAAGCTGGGAGTCTCTGTACTGGCTGCAGTAAAGAGTATATCTGGCTTAAGATTCCTCATGGCATAGCTTAGGACTACTCTACCCGATGATTAGTCTATGAGAAAGTACAACAACCTGATGCAGGCAGGATCACTAAAGGCTCTGATCCTTAAGGATAAAGTTAGAATCATCCTACCAGATGAGGAACCATGATCTCCCAAGATGCGTGCAGAATAGGCAGGAGAAGAGGGCAGCTATGAACACCAACCACTAACATGCATCCAGGTACAGAACAGCAACTCTATCATTAATATTTTTTGCAGTCTGTTTTATGCTTGCATGTGTACTGATACACCTTTGCCCCCTCTCTTACTCCTGTGTAATGTAACCTAACATGTACTAACTTTTTAACGCAGCCCTTTTTTTTGTTTGTTTTTGGTCTTTTTGAGACAGGGTTCTGCTATGCAGTTCAGGATGGCCTTGAACTCATGGCAATCCTCTTGCCTCAGCCTCCAGAGTGCTGGGATTACAGGTGTGCACCAACACGCCCAACTAGTGCAGCACTTATGTATTATTGTTATATTACAGACAGTGTTTCAAGTTACAGATGATCACAGAGAAGCACCTAACCCCAACCAAGAGTTCTGCTCCTCCTCTGGGAAAAAGGGTGATGTTGGCTGCATATGGGACAGGTGCATTGGGTTAGGTAGAATGTCTCCTTTTATTAATTTTATTTGGAAATAAAATATAGAATAAAAAGATACTAAGGATGTCAAACTAATGGGGGCTGGGCTTGTGATGACTAATTCCGTGTTTTAAATTGGCTGAGTTATCATCCCTAGATATTTGATCATATATTATAGATGTTCCTATGGAGGTTGTGTTTTGGTGTTTTTTTTTTTCTTTTTCTTGAGACAAGGTCTCACTGTAGTTCAGGCTGGCCTTGAGTTCACTATATAGCCTAGACTGGCTTCAAACTCCTGATAATCCTCCTGCCTCAGGTTCCCAAGTGCTGGGATTATAGGTATGTGCCACCAGGCCTGGCCTGTGAAGGTTATTTTGTAGAAGAGATTAACATATGAATCAGTAGATCTCATGTTAAAAGGAAGTAGATTTAAAGCAATTGCCGGGCATGGTGGCACAGGCCTGTAATCCTAGCACTCAGGAGGCTGAGGCAGGAGGATCCTTTCGAGTTTGGGACCACCCTGGGCTACAAAGTGAGCTCAAGGCCAGCCTGAACTGCATAG